AGATATTCGTGTCGCATTTTGGGCCGAGACAAACAAGGTCTGTTTCGAGCGATTTACACCAGCTTCGTGCGTTAATGCCCCCCGAAATTGAACAAGGCAACACGAAAAAGCAAATTATCTCATCTATCACCAAATAATTAATTCTGTGAGATAAACGTCTCTATAAAGACAGTGCTGCAAAGCAATGGTTCAAACAATGCCTGCTGAGTCATCTACGAGGATGTCACATATTACGGGTATATTGACTTCTGTCGGTATTGCAAGATCTGGTCGGGAATGGTGGCCAGTGATTTCGAATATATGAAACTGAATCAGGAAGATCTTATTTCTGAAGGAACATGCATAATGCAGGAGCTGTGTATGCTGAGCGTGGGCTTAGTTGTGGCATGAAGTAATATTAGCTAAGTTAATGCCATCCAACATTTTAATTCGAGGCACGCTTCAACCACGTGTGAATCCCAGATGCAAATCAGTTTCCTTCATAAGCAGCAAACGATCTGTAGTTCTTCAAAAACTATCATACGATTTATGGTGTGGTAAAGGTGCGATTGGGTATACAAGAATAATTGCAAACTAGGGTATCTGGCAGAAAGTACACTGGGTAGGTTGGGGACCGCACTGATAAGCCGAAACCCCCCCAGTTGGGCCATGCAACGGCAGAATATCTGCGAAACACGTGTCCGAACTTTCGGCTAGTATTTGAACTGCCAGTATGTAAGATATGCAGGGTCTGGGTAAACACCATTTGCGTATGGATTTCAGAATGATGATGGATGTTCGATATGTATGCGGTGGGTGATAGAACTCATGAATTGTCTGGGTCGAAATTTGATTAAGAAGTATGTCCCGCGTTTGATGTTTTATTAGTGTTTATTGAAATTTTGTGAGGCGCAGAACGACATATACTTTCGAGGGGTACATTTCAAGTCCGTTTCATTGAAGGAAAATAAGGTAACACGAGCCCACCGGCGGTCAATTGCGGAGAGGTCAACGCTAATCGCAGCGAACAGGCAGGTCATAGTTCGTACCTCGACCACGGATATATTACCAGACAGGCATAGATGCTGAAGCAATCAAGGCCAACAGGATCAGCCAACAAACGAGAGGGTTTTCAAAACCTCAGTTCAAACACAATTTGGTCCACGAACTCGTATCTTCTTTTTCGTCATCTTCGGTGGAAGATGAACGCGACACAATATCTGTACCTCGAGTCTTTACCCATATACGTATATATATATATATATATATATAGACGCCAACAAACCCTACCGGCCGATGAAGCACAAGGATTACGATCACTGAGATCGGACCACAATATTGTTGTTGTTCCCGCTGACAAGGGTGGCGCTACTGTCGTCATGGACAGAATTGATTACGTCAACAAGGCGAATGGAATCTTCGGTGACGTAGCGTCCTACACTCTTCTTGCCGAAGACCCGACGAAAAAGCAAGCCGCTGCCATCAAGAAAAAGGTTAATGAGCTCACTCGTCTGAAAGTTATAAGTTCAGATGATTCCAAGCTGATGACTCTCAGTGATCCCCATATCGCACGCGCGTATGGCCTCCCAAAAGTGCATAAAGTGGACGCCCCACTGAGGATTATTGTACCACTCATCGGATCACCTACGTACAATATAGCTAAGTGGTTGTACAAGCATCTGAAGCAGTTAACCCATGGATCTGACTACAGCATCAACAATTCTCTCGCGTTCCTCCAAAGGATCCAAGGCCTCGAAGTAAGTGCCGATGAATGCCTCCTGTCCTTTGACGTCGTTGCCTTATTTTCTTCCATACCACACGATTTGGCAATTGACTGCGTCGCCCAACGCTTACAGGAGAATCCTATTGAGATTCCAACTCAACATATTATAGAACTGCTCAAACTCTGCCTTAGAAACTACTGTCAATTCGACAATAAGTTCTACCAACAGGTAAAGGGAACCCCAATGGGCTCGCCAATATCTGGACTGATCGCAGAACTTGTATTGCAGCGACTAGAAAAGAAGGTTTTCCAAGATCTCAGCCCCAAAGTGTGGCTTCGCTATGTAGACGATACCTTTGTCGTGATAAAGAACTGCGAAGTTGAACGGCTGCATCAGAGGCTGAATGACGTCTTCCCGGCCATACAGTTTACTCGTGAAGAGGCAATAGGGGACAGCCTGCCGTATCTTGATGTAAAAATACAAAGGCTGAGCGATGGTAGTCTCGCGACGAGCGTCCATAGGAAAGGATCTAATTCCGAAATTATCCTCAATTATGGAAGCAACCACCCCGCAGCTCACAAAAGGAGCTGCGTTCGAACTCTGTTCCACCGGGCCTATCGTTATTGCAACAGCGCCGATCTCCTTAAGAAAGAGCTTGCCTACTTGTATCGGTTGTTTCGATCCAACGGATATCCGACAAGTTTCGTAAAGAACTGCCTCAGACACCAGGCACAACCGCAAGCTCCCACCCTCAACGGAGAAACTGTGTCTCGACAATTCTTCTCTCTGCCTTATATGCAGGGGGCGTCCGAAGTAATCGCCCGGCAGTTAAATCGCTCTGGTATTCGCATCGCCCACAAACCAGCATCCTCACTACGCGCGGCGCTATCTCGAATCAAGGATCCCCTCCCCAAAGAGCAACAAACAAACGTAATTTATCGCATCCCATGCTCAAATTGCTCTTGCGTGTATGTTGGTCATACAGGTCGAAGCCTGGGCACCCGTATTAACGAACACAAACTGGCTGTCCGTCGGCGAGACCCTCTGTCCCTCGTCTTTGCTCACGCACTCGAGTGCGACCACCGATTCAATTGGGATGGCACTGAGGTCGTCGCCATGGCTAACACAAAACGGGCGAG